AGTGCAATTGCTGGATCATATGGTAGCTCTATTTTCAACTTTTTGAGGAACCTCCATACTGTTTTCCAGAGTGGCTGCACCAGCTTGCATTCCCATTTTTCATGTTTTCTTTGGTGTCAAACAGAGTGCCTAGGATATAGTTAGTACTCAATAAGTATTGTTGAGGATGGGATTGTTATGAAATATTGGCACAAAAATTAGAAATGTATAGGTCATATCACACAGAAGATATTAGGATATCCTTAAGATGACATCATAATTGTCAGATTTTTTTTTTTCATCTTCAAAGTGCCTTTCTATTTCATTGCTGACCTAGGGATATTATTTGCTTCTGACATTAACTATTGTTTTTACACAATATTACAAATTCCATAAGTTTAAGGACTATTTCTGTATTATTCACCTTTGTTATCTCCATAAGTGAGCCCAAAGCTTGGCACAGAGTAAGCAGTCCATAAATATTGTCTGTTGTGTTTCTTTTTTACAACCCAATGAGAGTATTTGCTGATTCGCCATTCTGCGATTGTCAACAAGATTTGCAGCTCTTACCTCAGAGCACTGGCTGATTTTAAGACTTTGTAGCTAGCTTTAACTCTTAGATGGCAAGGAAGTACAAGCTGCCTAACTTTGGGCCAGATGAGCTCTTAGCATTTATAAATACAATAATAAAGTGCCAATGAGAGTACCGGACAGTTTGGCTATGGGACTGAAGAAATAAGAGCCCCATAAGCACTCAAAGAATCAATAAACCTCCTTCTCACTAATAGGAAAAAATAACTGGCAGTTCTCCCACCAACTCTACTTTCTCATCTAAGAGGAAAACGTTTCCTAAAGTACTTGTTCTTTTGAGAGCTTGCAGATGGCAATGACTTAAAAGCCTCTGTAATACTAGTAACACACTGCATGATCCTAACCAAATTCCAAATGGCATCAGTTGACTAGACTTGGAAAGTCAGATGCTTACAAAAGTGCATGCCAAATGCCTGTCAATTACATTCTGAAATAGTAGGCAAAGATGTGGATGAAAAAGGCACTCCAGATAAGGGGATGACATGGAGGAAAGTATGGTGATAGGAAGAACAAAGATTGGTTGACGTGACATAGACCAGTATAAATAAAATAGTTGCTGAACAAGAGATAAGATGAGGTATATGGGTTGGGTTCATGAATTCTTATTCAAAGGCCTTGAATTCCATGTGAATTAGTTAGCTATCGCTGCATAACAAACCATCACGAAATTCAGTGGCTTAAAATATGTTTAATGTTATTGCCCACAATAATAATATACTGGGAAGTTCTTTTGGTCTTGGCTGGACTCACTCATACTTCTACAGCTGGCTGTGGTGTGGGTAGACAGCCCTGCTGATCTTGGCTGATTCCTCTCACATGTTTGATGATTGGCTGGCTATAGGCTTGTATAGGAGAGAGTTAATATTGTAGACTGATGCTGCTCTTTAGAAGGACCTGCTTGCAGAGATGACCCTTGGCTGGTATCTGGCTGGTACTTGGGTTTTGGAATGTTCTCTATGTTAATAACTGTACTGGTTTTCAACTGCTGATGTAACAAATTGCCACAAATTTAGTGACTTGAAACAACACAAATTTATTATGTTACAGTTCTGGAGATAAGAAGTCCTTGCCTTTTCAAGCTTCTAAAGGTCATCTGCATTCCTTGGCTCATGACCCCTTCCTCCATCTTCAAAACTAGCAGCATAGCAACTTCAAATCTCTCTCTCTGATCTCTGCTTTTGTCATCACCTTTCTTTGACTCTGATCTAGGTAATTCAGGAAAATCTTCCCATCTCAAGATCCTTCACTTATATATCCCCAATGCCACTTTTGCCAGGTAAGGTACCATATTAATAGGTTCTGGGCATTATTAGGGCATAGGCATATTTGGGTATTTCAGGTTCATTAACTGATGATGGAGAATAAAATGGGTTAACATGCAGGAAATCTAGAGATAAAGCAGTTAGAAAGCTATAGGCAGTTGTTGGGATGCCTGGGTGTCTTAGCTGGTTAAGCATCGGACTCTTGGTTTCGGCTCAAGTCATGATCTCATGGGTCATGAGATGGAGTCCGCATCAAGCTTCCTGCTCGGTGGGGAGTCTGCTTGAAGATTCTCTCCCTCTGCCCCTCCCTGCACTCGCTCTCTTTCTCTCTCTCTCTCTCTAAAATAAATAAATACATCTTTAAAAAGAAAGAAAGAAAGAAAGAAAGAAAGAAAGAAAGAAAGAAAGAAAGAAAGAAAGAAAGAAAGAAAGAAAGAAAGAAAGAAAACTATAGGCAGTTGTTCAGGGATGCAATCAGTGATTGAAGTACCAGCCAGAAAACCAAGTTATCTATTTGAAACTGGTAAACAAACAAACAACAACAAAACCTGTGTTACTCAGGACCAGTTTGGGTAGAACTTGTGGTATTTATATACCACACAAAGCCTGTACTATGTGCTGAGACTACAAAAGGAATAAAATAGACATGTTTCTATCCCCATGGAGCTCACCTTCCAGTTGGATGTTTCTAAGAAGGGAGCATTTAAACTGATCCCTAGATAATAGAAAGAGATAGTCCCACAAAAAATAAGGGGTTCCAAGGAGGGAAAATGGCATGTACAAAACTCTGGGGTTGGGAAGAATGTGATCCTCTGTAAGTTTACTAAAAGTTCCAGGAAACTGAAGTATAGAAAATGAGGGGAAGGATGTCCCTAAGGTGGCAGGGAAGATAAACAGATGCCAGTTCATGCAGCAAGGGTCTTCTAGCCACAAGGAGACTAGATTTCATTCTAAGCTAACTAGAATCCTCTGAAAGGTTTTGTTTTCAAAATGGTAACTCTAGTGTTGAGGGACAAGAGTGGTAGTGGGAAAATTAGTTAGTGCCTTGCTACTTAGTGTGATCCATAGACCAGCAGCATCAGACTGACATATGAGCTTGTTGGAATTGCAGAATATTGGTCCCTCCCCAAATCTAGAATGAGAATCTGCATTCTAACAAGATCCTGAAGTGATTCATTTGCACATGAAACTTTGAGAAGCACTAAGTTGGAATACCATGGTAGCTTGACCTAACATAGTGGCTGAGGAGGTGGAAAAGTAGAGGGGATGTCTTAAAGATAGTCATAGGCATGCAGACTAGAGTTGGGATTAAAAGCTGGTATCAGGAGGACAATGTTCAAAACACACAGAGATATTAATTAGATGCAGGCATAGAATGCTAGGCAGAGATGTTTTCAGGCAGAAGTCCAGTACCCTGGAGAGCTCCCATAAACCAATGGTTTTTTGGAGATGAAAGCCTAAGGATCAACAGAGAGATGCCTTTTAGACTCAAAACGTTGAAGTCATCCTTGACTTCATATTATCTCATAGTATCTTGATGAAGCTCTGATGATCACTGGATTAAGTCCTATGATTCCTGGAAATCATCTTCAATACCCAAAGGGCTTTCTGTTCCACATGATAGAATGGCCACAGTGTCTGCTCTGACATGCACCATCAGTGAAATTAAATTCCTGAAAGAGCCCAAAAGGCTGAGATGAGGTGGAGGTAAGAGGAAGATACCTTTCCTGATACCATTTGCCCTCAAGGATCCCCTCTCTTCTGGAACAGGAGCTAGAGTTTGACCTAGGTTCAAGGGTTCAACCCCAGAAAAGAAACTGTCAGATATACTGTGATAACTCTGAAAATGGTAAGGGGTCTAATTTTGAGGAGATTATGAAGGAAATATCAGCAGAAGTTGATGAAGGACAGGGAGAAGGCAAGTGTGGAGTCTGACTGATGCCAGGATCCTCCTATTGCTCTCATCTGTCCTACTTGTAGCAAATATAGAAAATTCCATTAAAATCCCACTGACCCTGTGAGATACCAACCATATCATTCCCAGTAATATGATTAAACTGAAAGACAAGTATAAGTGAGGATATGAAACAATTCATACCTTATTGGTGGGAATGTAAAATGGTACATTATTAGGTATATACATTTGAAAGAATACATCCAATTGTACTCTTACCATCTCTGAGTAGTATTGAATATAAATTTGACTTCAATAAAAATAAGCTTTTAATTAATAATTTAAAAATCCCATTGGCTTTTGCTTCATTCCAAGGGCACATGTACCTATATATGCTGGCTTGTTTCATTCTAGGAAAATTTGTGAGGGATACTCAACAATCTTTCTGGTCTGGAAACAATGTGGCAGAGGGGCTTGCAGTTTGTCCAAGTTGATGCAAAGCTGGAGGCAGCTGGGCTTAGCAAAAGCTTTCAAGCAAGCTTTGAACAATGCCTGTAACCTGTGACCACAAAAGTGTAACATGCCCACTGGAGCCCGTGTGTCAATAGAAATCTCATTGAGAGGAGGTGCCCAGCTCCTTCTAAGCCACAAGAGCCTGATGAATTGCTCAGTTGTTCTTTCAGGCTGTTCCAGTTTCAGTGGCAACTAGGGAGGAAGAAAACCCAGGTTTTCAGTGTTGCAAAAATTCAGTCTAGTACAAAGTGTCCTGAAAGAGGATCCAAAGAACAAGACAACAGAGTAATGAGGCCACCTGCTCTCAGATCAGCTCTTCTTTTTTCCCATCACCAATTTAGTCCCAGTTCTAGTTGACGCCCACCCAAAGTGGATTAATTCAACCAACATGTTGTATTTACTATGAACCAGTGCCATGCCATGTACCTGGAGGGCAGGTAAAAGACCCCAATCCTTTAGAAACTCAGTCTGGTGGAATTACCTGCTGTCACATCCGTCATCTAATTTGATCCTTGCAACCTCTCTGAAAGGTAAGTAAAGCAGGAATAATTACAACCCCTATTTTCCAAATGAGAAGATTGAGACTCAAGAGAAATGAAATGATTTACCCAAGGCCACATAGCAAGTAGTAAACTTAAGATTTGAACTCAGGTGTTCTTATGCTGGGTTCCATGTTCTTTCTAATGCATTATAAAGATGCATATAAAACAGGTATGTGTCCTTTCTCTACTGTATATTCACTGAAATCTTGAGTCTGAAGAATATTGGGACTCATGAGCACAGAAATGACAGGGGGAAAAATAATCAGGACCAGGCGGTGCTTAGTCCTCCAGGAGACATGATGTCTGAATAGACACAGAGGGAGAAGACTTGGCTCAGACAAGTGATCC